GCAGGATATGTTTTGTGTCTCCTAATCCCTGGGAGTGTTAAGCCACAGAGCAATTTGGTGTGCTATACACATTATCCTTAAAATAGCATGAATAGATCATGATAAGGGGAAAAGGAATAGAATCATCTCTATCTGGTCACCCCCTCATGTATTACCTGAAGCCTCCCATTTCACCTGTCTTACACCTGGATTACATCCTGTCATTAAGATAACATGCTCTACCTTGTCATTAGGGAGATAACTTGAGTGTTGGTGATTAAGATTATGTACAGAGTGTCCCTGACATGCAATACCTTCCACTCCTCACACTGTGGTGCTGCTTTGATTCCAGTTAAAGCAGTTCTTTTTGTGCTATATATTTTAAGTTTGGCTCAAGATAATGATTTGCACTCTTTTAAATGAGAAGATAGCTTTATACCCCATTCACACTACAGTTGCCAAAATGCGCATTTCTATAATTCGGATTTTTCGGAAGGAATCCGATTCGGTATTGCGTTCACACTCGCTAAGCGAATCCGAATCCCATGTTGAAAATTTCAGGTTTAACTTCCTGTTTTGAACACTCGCGCATGCGCCGCACAGGAAATCTTAAAATACCAACAAAAAATTGTGACGACAAATGCAACTCAGAAGACATTCCAGCATTCTTGAGAAGTATAAGGTGGCAAAATAAGTTTGTTTCCTCATGTTGTAGTGAGTGGTGACCTCCAAATACGTTTGGTGCAATCGCTAAAGTAATAAACAAGCGTTCATAGATATCCGCACTTATCAGCACACATGCGCAGTAAGATCTGTACAGGTGTCGATTCCGGTAAGTTATCCGGATCGCGCTTAGAAATCCACCTCGCTTGCAGGATTTTGAAAATGCGCATTACAAAAATCCTCTTGCGTTCACACTACTGCATTTATTCGAATTGTGACCTAATTCGCAATTTATCCGGATAACTGAGCATAGTGTGAACGGGGTATTAGTGGTAGCAATCCAGATAAAGGGGTGGCGGTATGGTTCTTTGGTCATGTAATCTGTTAGACAGAGCCATGATCAAGTGATGTTCTGATTTATTACAAGGGTCAGGTATGAATGGCCTCTCATAGTGATTATGTACAGCTTGGAGATAGGGCTGAATGATAAGACTAAGTACCCACTAGTAAGACTTGTAGATGGGATAAGATAAGTGCCACATTATATGAAATGATGGATTTAGTGTATCTTGATGATGCATATTATGTTTCAAGACTTAACTTCACTTAAAATTAGTCATGTAAAGTTATGATATATGGCTGTATAAGGGGAAAGAATTCTGAAAACAATATCTGAAGGGATTTATGTAAAATGGCTGTTAAAGAGGCCTAAGTTTGATATAAAGCAACTGAAATACGGAAATTCTGCACATTCTGGAAAACAAAAAGTCTCAGATTGGAGAACAGTCATGGCAATAATCTCCCCTCCTCCTCTCACACATTGGACACAAATGCCATGTTGATTTATATACAATAGAATGCACTGTAAAATGTGTGGCATTTCCAGCCGGAGTAAACCAATACCATCTGGGTATACTATTGATACTCCCTGTAAACTTAGTTACCATGGTTAAGGTGCATATTTGTGGTGACCTCTTGTCTGCCATTCATCATTCTGTATCACTATACCAGTCTTTTTTCCTTCCTAAAACCTTATGATCTTCACCTCTGGCTTACCAATTTGAACCTTTTGGCAGTAATAAAGAGGGTTTACTTTATTACATAGGAAGTTCTGCATAAGACATAAACAGGTCATGTTGAAATGTGATGAAGATTTATATGACTCCAATATTGAAAACCAAGCTATTGTTTGGTAGTGCTGAAAATTAAATTCAGGAACAAAAAAGGTTGAAGTCAGTAATTTGAAACTAGAAAGAGAATAGTAAATCCAATGATGATGATAATAATAATAATAATAATAATAATAATAATAATAGTAATTTTTCTGAAAGGTACATCAGGATATCTGAGAATTCATTTGCTTTAGTATAAGAAAGATCACAGTGCCTAGATTTATTTATTTATTTATTTATTTATTTATTTATTTATTTATTAGGAAGAGTGGACACAAAATAAGCAACGATTGCCTTTGAAAAATAATAAAGAAGTTAAAATATACACATTTCTCTTTCAGGTCTTTCATGTTGCCTATGTTTTCATCAAGATGGCCAACTCTCCTCGGCCGGGTGTTTGGGTCCTGGAACGTTCCACCGACTATGGACAGACTTGGAAACCATGGCAGTACTTTGCAGACACAGAAAGCGATTGTTACAACATTTTCAATAAACGAGCCTCTTCCCAGCCTGTATATGATGATGATGCCATTTGCACTGTGGAATACTCAAAGATAGTACCCCTTGAAGGAGGAGAGGTCAGTTTGTATAGGAATATTGCAAAAATATAGAACAGGGGGTCAACATATTTTAATTTTGCCCCTTTTGTCTGGAGATCATCACCCATTCTGAAAAGAACAGCTGCGGCTTCTTGGCCAAATGCTACACTGTTTAAATCGACTTTTACTGTGCAAGTACACTTTAATCTCATCAGTAAATCCTATTAAAGAAGAATTGATTCTATTTATTTTTGCTTTAAACATATTTTTCAATTTTGATTTCAGATTGTTGTATCCTTGGTCAATAATCGTCCCAGTTCCATGAATTTCCACGCCAGTGACAAACTCCAAGAGTGGACAGAGGCTACCAATATCCGTCTCCGTCTCATGAGGACAAAAACTCTGCTTGGCCACTTGATGGCTGTTCAGAGGCAAGACCCAACAGTGACCAGAAGGGTGAGTGGACTGGACGGCCAGTGAATCATTTTATCTACTGATAATGGGAGAGAGGTTGGGAATGAGGGGGGGGGGGAGGATAGTTGCTGGGTATTGTGCACTAGCTATATCTACAAAGATAGAACATAGATGTTATTATTCAAGTAGATTGTCTCCTAAAGGGTACTTTTTTATGGCTCTTTTTTTCCAAATGTAGCCTTTTTGTTTAAATGTAGTCTTCCCAAGATGCATGACATTTATTTTTTCCATAGAATATATTGCAAAGAGATGTCACAGAAAATATGTACAGGTTAGGATCAGGTCTTCATTAACATAAAGAAATGAAATCAGAAGTTGGTCATTAGTTACAGACCAAGGTTAAATAACTCCAGTTAAATTGGAAAATTGGGTCTTTTTTTCACCAAAAAGGAGGAAACTTTTTAGAATAAAAGTCATTATTTTGTGGCCTTGTGAAAATTTTTCATATGTGGAATTATACTAAATTTTGGGTCTGAAGTTCTATTGTGAAATGCAGTGAAGACTAAATATGTACAGCATCATTCCTGAGCATGGCCATACTGAGCCTGTCCAGGTGTTAGGTGAAGTTCAGACTTTCAACATGCCTGAAGGTGTAGGAAATGTCACTTCAGAGGCTACTCATTATCTCCTTAAAGACAGACTACATGTTTTCCCTCTAATAGATGACCAGACACTGGAAGACAACACATGTGATGGGCCATGATAACACAATGGTGAAGGGTCATGCATTAAGTCCTTTCAGGTAGACAGGACCATCTATAAACTTACATCATTGATGGTGGTACAATTCTTCAGGCAAGACAGGCAGTCTAATGGTCTTAGATACATACCTACATACATAGGGACCTGATTATAGAGTAGGCGAGACAGACTTAATGTGTCATTGGACATGCATCCTCTTATTATCCTGATCAGAAGGTCTGAAAAAAGTTTTCATAACTAAATATTTTAACATTTTCATATAAAATAGTAATCTTTTAAAGTTAAACCAGAACTCACAAAGGCTTGTCATTTTTTCTATTTTTTAAAATCAGTTTTCAGTGTTCATATTTTGTTTCATAATTTTTAACTTGAGCAACTTGTGCAGAAACCAAATTATGGGATACACCATCTTGTGACTAAACAAATGACATACGGAATGGCTGAAGACTCAAGGGCAGTAGTGCCTTAGAGAGCAACCATATTATTTACAGTACACCAACAAAGATGACAGGGTAGACCTGGATTATACACACTCATTGGTGTGATAATGAAGAATGTGGGTAGATAATGTTACGTGGTTTAACAAGCTGTGCATAGTTTAAGGGACAAAGAACAGAACAAGAAAATCCAATTCTGTAGAGCAATGTTTGACATGAAAGGAATATATTTGAGAAAAGGTTACCAAAGTATACAAAGGTTTGACTTTTAAGTGATAGTCCACAGACTGGGGAGGGGGGTACATGGCACACTCTGTGCTTTATAAATGCATAAAATCAGATATTGTATGTTGTAGTTGAGGCTCAGATTCATAAAATAATTATATAGAAAGAAAGTGAAAAAGGTGCTCGTTATTTCTTATAATTCAGTGAAGAACAAATCAGCTATGAACACCCTGTCCATTCATAAGATATATTGAAATGCACTACAAAACTGGTCTTACTGAAGAAAAAGAACAGGGCAGGTACCTTTATCCTTGCTTTCTCATCTTACCTTTCTCAGCCATTTCCTCTCAATAAAGAAAAATTCTGTTGAGTGGCGGGGTATGTGTGGACAGTCAAGCAGTGACTCATTTCAGACAAAAACCTCATTGAGGGGTCCATTTCACATGGACAGCCATTTACACAGGCATCTATGGACTGGGGATATTATTAGGCAGGAGGGGAGTCTTGACTATTTGTTATTGATTTATACAAAGTAAAGCACTCTCTTTCTGTCTCTTATCCCTATCTGAGGCCTTCTTTTGGGAAAATTAGGTTTTTAATGTCAGTAATGTTGCAGAAGAATTTATGCAGTGGATTTGAAAACATTCTGAAACATACGGTTAAAATTCCTTTGCTGAGCTCAGCCCTGACAGATATCAGATATTCTAATAGTCCAGTATTGTCTGCTGTGTATAACCTCTATTACGTATTATAGCTCCCATTTTATCTTGTGGACTTGTAAACCTATATTTTTGACACATTCCAGATCAACTGTTATGGCAGGGATTTACTTCAGTGTTCAGAATGCCTGGCTAATTTTCCTGTTGTTGAATGGTCCCTTTTCAAATACTTGAAATGTATACCACAAAGGGGCTTATCTGATAGGAAACATTACAACTTCTCTTCCTATGTATGCTGTTTTAGCTTCTGTATTTGTATTTAGAGGGAAATATGATGTCTGGCCTACTTGATTTGTGTATTAACGTGAAATACAGGCATGGGAGTTTTTTACAAGCTGTATTTGTTTCCCAAATCTAGAGTCTTTTTCTCCTTCAAATTAGTCACTACAATCAGAATTGGTGCCATTTCCTAAATAATTGGTAAAAACCACCATTAACATTCTGCTGACATTCTGCTGTCTTAATCCCTAGTAGTACTAGTAATCCCTATTCTTCCTTAGAAACTGTAAAAAGGTCCCTTTTGCATAGGTTGGGAACTTGGGGGCAAGCAGTGTATATAGTCAGTTTATATAAACAGTTGCCAGACTGTATAAACTCTCCAAGGATGTAACAGCCATGTGTGTGTGGTTATGAAAAAGAAGATCATCAAGTGCCTACGTTTCCTGATCATGTGGTTTTGGACAAAGAACCATGTGAAAAAATACAGCATCATCTCATTCTTTCATGTGGAAGGCATTGCACTATATGAATTATTTCCTGTATGATGACTCAGAAAGTATAGCTTGACATTGTTGACCTAGTGTGATTATTAAAAAAGAAAAGAGAGCTTTTAGATTTGAATCTCTCTCTCTCTCTCTCTCTCTCTCTCTCTCTCTCTCTCTCTCTCTCTCTCTCGTGTGAGGTTGTATTGGTGTGTATTGGATTTACTAGATTGTTGAAAAAAAAACTAGAATGGGATAGTTCTTTAATTTTAATTTTACTTTTAGCATCTGGGTTATTTTTTCTTGTGACTTGATCTTTGCATATCTAAAACTGTATTTAATGAGATGTTGCAGTGAAGTTTTTTCCAAGTCCAAATTTGTAGTGGTATGTTTTTGGTTACACATTGGATGCATCTTATGATTGTGTTTGAAATACAGCCATTTATTTTAAAAGTGTTCATCAGAACTGATGAGATGAATTAAATCTACCCTTTCGTATTTACAGTACTTCTACAGTATCAAGGACATATCTATTGGTGGGCGCTGTGTGTGCAATGGCCATGCTGACGTCTGTGACAAGACAGATCCAAATGATCTGTACAAGCTTCTCTGCCGCTGCCAGCACAATACGTGTGGTGCTCAGTGTGAGATGTGCTGCCCTGGCTTTGTGCAGAAGAAATGGCAGAGGGCTGACAACTATAACACCTTTGAGTGTGAACGTAAGTTGGGCTTGGAGTGAGGATTCTATTTGCCTTTTATGCTATTAGTATCAGTTGTTTTTATGAAAGTTGACTTAAAAGAATAGCGTGTTGATTAATTTGTATCCTAACCACTTGACAATATAAATATGTAGTTCTTTTTACTTATG